AGTGTCTAAGGAGCTGCTAAAAGCGGGAGGATGAACTAAAGTGCAAGTTACTCGTGAACTTCCAGCGCTCGTACATCATTGCGATTCCACGTGGATATAACGCAAACGCGTGCGCGAGAGCATCGCGCTTATTATACGCTGATACACTTCGCTGAAAAGAAAAGAGGACGGTGGAGAACGGTAATCGCCCCTTGAATTTGAGGATCCAAGACGAAATAAGAAATATCGATGAAACCATCATAACAAAGCCAGATTAGATTTAACCAGAATAACGTAAACAGATCAGATCCTTTGTGCGTGTGTCGCGTGTAAGAAGGAGAGATGTTACAGCAAGAGTCGGAGGAAATAGCGTTTGAGATTGTTAGGCAGTTAGCTCATGATGTATACATTAGTTGGTTGAGGACAATCGAGTTTTTATTCGTAGGTTTTGGTTACAAAAGGCATTCAGGTTAAAAAGTTAATAAGACTGCGAGCAATAAGTATTGGAGTTCAGACTATTGTGTTGTTGATCACCGAGCGTTGAGTATCCTTCTGTATCAATAAAATTATACACTTTCTTTATAATTTCTTATTGGTCTCTCTGTAAATTTAATAGTCACGTCTTTTCGTAACTGAACGTAGCGCAGACAGACGGGCATTGCAGCCTTCCAGCCGCGTAATCACGCGCATCCACTAATATACTCCTTCGCATCGCGAGGCTTTATTCCGCCACGGGGACGGCCCTCGTGCCTCTCACGACGGCCTCCAAGTCCAAGCCAAGTAATTCCGAAAAAGTTATTGACTCACGAGGGAAATTATTTGCTCGGGTATCCCTCTCTCACCGGCTCGGTATCGCAGATTGAAAATTAATTTTTAATTTCGCGCTCGCTAAACCCTGCGTATCAGTTCTCTGTTATAATTAATCTCGTGTTATTTTATATTATGTCGGTGCCCATTTTTTTCCCCTTCGTTTCTGTAGAACTTAAATACGTTTCGTGCGGAAACGTTCGCGGAGTAATGAAAAGCTGGCGTATAAAGTGAAACTAGATTCGCGGATAATTCCGCGTGGCGGATCTCGACAAAGAGACGATAATTGAAAATTTTTAGTACTCCTCGTACGTTTAACCCTTAAGCGACCGTGCCTCTCGCCCAAATATTGGCGGGCGGGCGCGATACTGACTGCCGTCTTACGAACTTATTACTCATTTGTTATAAAATTCTGATGAAAAATTGTCAATACGTCCCCATCCCTATAGAATGAAGTAATGTATATTTGTGATAAAAGTTGGAACTTTGGAAACCATTGGAATTTTGCGCGTTCTTAAATTTATGTTGAGTAACTCTGTGGTTGATCGTAACTAGAAAATTAAAAAGAGGAACATTAGCTTAAAAATTGTTCAAATAAGGACATATTAACATAAAAACCTAAAGAAACGTAATAGCAACATAAAATAAGCCTTTCAGAATACCTCAGAAAACAAAAGGTATGGAGTACAGCAAAACGTGACATTGGATTGAGAACCGACTAACGAGTAACCTCTCGATAGGAATGATATGACGTTTGCGCTATTTTTAAACTTTTTTGAAGTAGAACGGCACGGTGACTCGAGTGGAGATACTTTCTCTCTTTCTCTTTCTTCTCTCTCTTCTCTTTCTCACGGTTTCGGCGGAGTGAATTTTCCTAGCTGTGTATACTTGAAATTAACGCGTGTTGAGCTTGCTGTGTATGCCACCACAACGTGGAACGATGCGCATACGTGTTATATGCATTCCGCATTGTCCATGCACGAGGTGCTAAGTAGATATTGACCATCAAGTGTCACTGCACACACACACACACACACACACACACACACACATACCGGATCAGAAACCACCGGCGGTGGATCGTCGCGCCGGGACGCAGATGCGTCGCGCACGCAAAGATTTAGCTTCCGTTCCAACCCTTCCCACTTGCCGCGCGTGCAAGTACGACGCGTATGCGTGCCACGCGCCACGTGCCGCGTACACACGTGTCGCATTCCCAGATGCTGAACGCGGGGGCGGCTCGGTGGTGGTGTTGGTCGCAGGCAGGCCTCTATCGGACGTGCGATTCATACGGTTAATGACGCGGCTTTCGTACTAATACCTGATCGGCCGGCATACCCGGCTGTACGCAGGCATGCTTTGGCGACACATTGTCGCTCGAATTCTGGAGATTGCCATTGATACGGCCACGGCGGATCGTTATCGATCCCCGTCGAAGTGTGCAATATGCGTACCGATAATTACCCCTGTGTCATCGTATTATCTGTATGCACACGATCACCCCCGACCTAACGCGAGCCAAATAACACCGTGAAATTTTCAACAGGTTGCCGTCGTTGCGAGGTGTTTACGACGCCGGCGAGTTGACTCTTACTTAGCGACGTTATTGCCACCTCTCTCTCTCTCTCTCTCTCTATCTTCTTCTCTCTTTTTCTCTCTATCTCTCGTTCATTCTTTCCGCTTACATTGATCTATTATTCTTTTATACCTTTCGTACAGAGAACATGTGGAAATATTGAGAAAAAGAATTGGTAATAATTATCAAGTCTGGATAATAGTGCTTTAGTGAGACACTTTCAACTAAACATTTAGGTGGATATAATCATACTGTTTGGTAAATATGAACAAAAAAATAACACTGGTCATCAGCTATTTTGTATCAAAGATGAAAGTTACTGATTTGTACTAATTTTGACCTGCTGAATTCGAATATAGCAAGCAAGATCTTCCGTTGGTAACAGTTTTAGAGATGCACGGTAATGAATTTTTTATACTTTCCTTTAAAATTAATATTATTTTTATGTTAGCAAATTTAATTAGTTTAGCAAATTTAGATATGAGGACAGAACAATGTCATAGTTTAAAAGAGACGGCATGTTGATGGAGATAACGGAGAAGAAAGAGGGGATGATTAAATTTAGTTACAAATTCGGACGACTATATCTACGCATTGAGTGAAGGGATGAATTCGTATCTCGTGATGTACGTAACGTTACGCGCATCAAGAAATTAATAATTAATTTGTCATTAGTAAGTACATGTATCCGAACCGCGACATTTGTGGAATATTGATGACGTGGTGCTCCTGCGGTATGGTCGAACGTATCGATACTTCATGCTATCGAGTACACGCAGTTTATCGAGATGGAATCTCGCCGCCGGCTGCCCCGCGTACGGCCTATTACTATTGCCGGCTTATATCAAGCGCAAGTAGCAATAATATCGCGCCATCTTATTCGAGAAACAGGTTGGGAGGCGATACTTCTCAAATCCGTGTAAAATTTTACCTTTTAATCGCGGAATTTTAATCAAGCATTTAATCAAGAATTTAATCACGTTTCCATATAAATTCGGCGTGATATATGTAAATTACAAAATAAATTCTGTTTCGTGCTTTCAAACATTACTCATACAGTTGTCAATATTCTCTTTCCGGAACGAGGAGTGAAAAAGTAACCTTTCTGGAACCTTTGCTTTATGTTATCGTTTAACAATAATTTCATATAAATTCAAGATGAGACGTTTAAATTGCGAAACAAATTCTGTTTCTTGCTTTCGAGCATTATGCTCATGCAATTGTCAGTATTCTCTTTTTAGAACAAGGAGTTAAAAGGTAACGTTGGGTAAGTTTTCGTGCGTCACAAAGCGGACATATTCCTGTTATTGAAAGATCAGCGCTGTGTAATCGAGAAAAGGGGGAGAAAGAAAGAGAAGGAGGAAGAGAAAGCAGAGAGAGAGAGAGAGAGGAAAGGGGAGTCGTTAAAAGCGTAATTTCAGCAAATAAAGTACCTGTTACCGGTTCCACTGGAAAGTTGAGATTTCGCTCCCGTTAATGGTCGTGAAGAACCATAAAGATGGAGGCGCACGATTGGGACCTAAGCTTCAAAGGGCCGCTGGTCGGAATTGAGGTTTCTCCGTCATTAAGACTTTAACTACTTTCCACACCGACCAGCGACGCGATCGAGCACAGAGGGGGGGCCGTTCCGATGCGTAGGTGAGGGGGCGCAAAATGAATTCCGCGAGATCAAAGCGCGAAATGTTTCTCTTCAGCCCGGGCATCGCTTTGCCGGCTACGCCGGGCGGAGTAATTTATGCACGGCAGCTCCCGATTGAAAGATTTACTGCTCTCCGGGACTCACCGTGGCGCACGGTCAGCGTTGTTTGCGCCTCGTCGGAAATATTGTGGAATGAATCTTGGCGAAAGCGAGCCGCGTACGTGTTCTTTGGTATTCCGAGTTATGTGTCATTTACATCGCGCATAATCTATGCCGGCTGGATGAACGATCGCGCAGAGACGCGACGCGAGTGAAACTGTCGTATCGTGACGGAACTGTCGCACGAGATAGAAGCGAAAGGCTGGTACAGAAAAGCCGTAATTACGCCGTTGGCTATTAGTTGCGATTAATGTTCTGCGTAAATTTCACTCGGCGAAGGGAGACTCGGTGTGAGCCAGCTCGTCCGACAATATCGTGCGACACAATTTCTGATAATTCGAAATTGCCGCTTGAAAAACTTCGGCGGCTCGTCACTTCTCCCGGTGCGCGTCGCCCGAAACATCACGTTGAGTTTAAATAGCGAGGAATGGAGAAACGACGCAGCAGGCCTTGTGTATCGACATCCTTCAAACAACGCAGTAATTAATGGATCTCTTGTAACACGAGGAAACCCATAATCCCGTAATCTTGGGGCGACATTGATTTACGAGTGGGCAGTGTCATTATTCTCAAAAAGTATCAAGATTTCCGGCGCGCCAGATATCCAGATTCAATATCCTAATACCGCAATTTTTCAACGTCCGCTCGCTCGCGCACGCGCGCAAGGCGTTCCTACCGACACAACGCTCATTAGGCGATATCACGTGAAGCCGCCGTTAATTTAATACCGCACTCGCGTAAATATTCATACGTTAACGATCGCGAGCGCGCGATACAAGGGCGGCTTGACGAGCCGTTGCCACTGACACTTGATTCTCCTTTTTTGCCATTCTGTTGCAGGGGAGCGCACGGAAGCCATGCAACGTGACGCCGGATACATCTCCTCCGGAAGTGACGTCAGGCACTGGTCCGGACTTCTGCTTCCGTTTTCGTGGCTTCTAATACTCGCGCGCAACAGCCAAACTTTCTTGCTCTAACGAGCGCACACGCCCGACAGTATTTCACGCTTATTTCTTGCCGTTTCCGAGATGTACCTAAAATGCGACCAAGCCGATTTAGATCGTAAGATGAACTCTCTTGTAGCTCTTAAGAACATATTTATAAATCGTATTATGGTGTATTCCGACACGCGGCGCGACGTGCCCGCTAAATTCGTAATGCGCGGGTTATGCGCGATTTAGGAGGCGACAAGAATTATTCGCCGTATACACTTTACGAACGTACAAAACGTGCAGTTACGAAACTTAATTTAATTCTGCAAGTATCTTAACGGCGTAGCGAAGCGCAGATATCGTACTCTGATCGTAACGTAAGTACTCATAATCAAACTATTATATATCGCGATCGATGAATTGATCGATGTAACGTAATTACTTAGTGCGTTACGTAATTAATGTTACAACGCGACGGAGGAATTAACTAGGATAAAGAAATGAAACGATATATAAGTGCGTTCACGAGATAATCCACATTGAGTTTAATCTACATTGAATTAAAATTCATATGAAGTAGAATGAAAGAAGTTGATGAAGATATGCAGGTGATCCTCGAGAAGCACGGTTACAATTAGTAAATAATTTAAAACTGTGTAATTTTTTCCAGACTTAGCTCTCCGCACGCAAGCATACCTTTTTGGATACACAGTATCTACATCGTGCAACTTTAAGTAACTATAATCTTGTTGAGAAATAATATTTTCGGACACATTTTTATTTACATGAAGAAAATGTTATAGTAAAAATAAAATTAAACGTTAAAATTATATTTCTTACGTTAAAATTATATTTTTTTTTTCACAATGTTTTTTGTAAAGCTGAATTATACTGAGAAATTATGCTATAAATAGAAATAATAAATTTGACAATCTACTTAAATAGAAGAAAACATTCAAGTAGTTATAATAATTTTATAGTAAAAAATCAAACGCGCGCGCGTATATATTTTTAAAATAACATTTTTAAAAATAGCGTTTTAACAATACTATTAAGAAAAAAATATATAGTAAGTTCGATCATAATTTTGTATAATCTGTGAGATTACAGAAATGTTGTTACAATTTTTATGACAATATTTTCTACTTGCAGAGAGATATAAAACGACCTCAGAAATGAGATAGTGGCGCAACGAAACCAAAATCTGCAAACAGATTTGCGCCACTTTGAGGTCTTCCTGGACTTTTTACGAAAGTTGGTGCGCGATCGAATATTCGTTCGAATTTCGCAGACACAACATTGAAGGTGGAGGTTCAGGATTCATACGGTTGTTCTATTTTTTATGCATATCACCCTTTATTAAGTGACCGTGTCATTCGAATTCCGCGCAACCCAATGTCGTGTTATTCGAGGGACGCCTGCACGCGAACATAGATCCTAAATTAAGAGTGCATGTGTGCACGCGCATAAATTGTGAATCGTCCCGCCGACAGTGGCAATAATTTCCAGCACGTAAAATAATTGTAACAATAAATGAAATATAAGTGGCAAAACACCTTTCTCTTCTCTCTCATGTATATTTGGTCCCGCGAGTGCGCGTAAGAAGATGACGAGTGGCTCGCGGGAATCTAATTGAAACGGCGGTGAAAATAAAGACGAAACGTCCCGTAGGAAATTCCACATCTCGTAACTTTAACTTCGCGCGCAAATAATTCATTAAATGACCCGCGATACTCCATTTGATCCCAATGTCCCGGAACGTTCCTTTCGCTACGCTTCTCGCAATTCACGGTATTTCTTTGAGCGCGGCTCTTAAAGTCAATGGGATTAAAGCGGCCGCGCAGCGCTAAAGGAGACACGGAAGTAATTTGATATCGTGTATCGCGGTGCACATCCCTTCTGCCGGAGATGGGACACGAAGAATATGTCGTGAATTTCATGAAATTCCAGCGAATAAGCGTGTCCACGTTGTGCCGCGCTATTTACTCTTGTCCGCGTCCCGTGTATACAGAACAGCGGGAAAAGCTCTCATCGGACTATCGCGGCCGGGTAGCACGTACGTGTGCATTTTGGCGCATAATCACCGTGCAAAATCTTCATCTGTTTGAAATTGCACGACGTGACATTTTGCATCATCGATACATACAGGGCTGGCAAAAAGTCCGGAAACGGTCAAATATCTCGGAAAGGATCAATTGTAGCGAAAAATATGTAAGTAGCAAAGTTGTAGGGCTTAATAAAATATACCTAATGATGGCTAAAAATTTGACTTTGGGTGGAGGACGAAGGTCATACGAAGGTCAAATTGAATTTTTTAAATTGGACTCCCCACTTTTTATTACATATTCTTGTAGCTTATCTCAAGGGCTTTCCAGAAACCTATAATAAAGTATTTTTTCATTAGGCATATTTAGAGTTATGAGGCTTGAAAGGATTTTGGTCTTTAACTGTTTCTGTTTCGTAAAAACGTATCACTGTCTTCTGAACGATGGATTTAGAAATAAAATTGCGATCAAGATATGCAGCATTGAATGTGTAGATCAGTTACTTCTTCGTATGATCTCCAATATGGTCTCCAAATTTTCGATAAAGAAACAGCATTATCTTTTCTTTATCGGTTAACATTTTTAAAAAAGAAATTTGAAATTGTAGTTGGAAAAAGAAAGGGAAAAGACAAAGAGTAAGATGCGAGAGAGCACGACTCGTTTTTAAAATACAAAGATCGAGAAGCGTTATCGTGAAGCGCTGGTATGCGCGAGTTTTGACTGAGTACGTGTGATATTACGTCGTGAATGAATAACCGCGTTCGATGCGAGCAAATAAACAACTAAGTCGGTCATATCGTCTAGCTCGAGACACGAAAAACAAAGTCATTCTTGTTTTTCTCCCGTGTTTATGTTTTTTAGACTCCCAGCCTAGTTGTTCATTCGCTCGCATTGAACGCGGTTATTCATTCACGACGTAATATCACACGTACTCAGTCAAAACTCGCGCATACCTGCGCTTCACGATAACGCTTCTCCATCTTTGTATTTTAAAACCGAGTCGTGCTCTCTCGCATCTTACTCTTTGTCTTTTCCCTTTCTTTTTCCAACTATAATTTCAAATTTTTTTTTTTTTAAATGTTAACCGATAAAGAGAAGATAATGCTGTTTCTTTATCAAAAATTTGGAAACCATATTAGATCATACGAAGAAGTAACTGATCTACACA